ATGTAATATTAATAATAATAATAATAATAATAATAATAATAATAATAATAATAATAATAATAATAATAATAATAATAATAATAATAATAAGTTTTTTTAACGTATTTCTTATTTCCGTTAAATACAAAAAATAAAAAAACCGTTACGAAAAATTTGTTCCAGAAAAATTTAAAACGAATTAATTTATATATAATCGAAACGACGACCGTTAAAAGAACGCGTGTTTTTTTAAAAAATCAATCGTTAATTTGTTTATAAGATAATAATAATAATAATAATAACGTTTTTTCCGTTAAATTTAAAAAAAAACCGTTACGGATAATTCGTTCGAAGAATAATTTAAAAAATTAAAAAACGAATTAATTTATATGTAATCGAAACGACGACCGTTAAACGAACGCGCGTTTTATTGTTTTTTTTTTTTTTTTAAATCCAATCGTTAATTTGTTTATAATATAATAATAATAATAATAATAATAATAATATATATAATAATAAATTATTTAAATAAAAAAAAATGGAGGCGGTAAAACAATCCCAAACCGAATTTTTATTTTTAAAAAAATTAAATTAATGTTTACGTTATTAACGGAAAAAAAATGTCATAACCGGTGCCTGAAAATAATAAAAAAATTTTTTTTTTTGGTTTGTTTTGTTGGTATTATTAAACAGGTGCGTATGTAATTGTCGCACCATGTCAAATTTATTATTATTATTATTATTATTGTTTGAATACAAGCAGGTGTTAATTACACACAAAAAAAAAAAAAAATTTTTTCACAAGGTTATTTAAATTTTTTATAAAAAAAAAAATTAATCCCGAATCACACATTAATAAATAAATAAATTTATTATTAATCGATAATAATCATATTATTGTAAATAAATAAATTTATGGGGAAAAAAATAAATAAATAAATAAAATTGTATTCGAGTTAAATAATAAATATTATTATTATTATTAATATCACTGTGTAATTTATTATTATTATTACTATTATTATTATCATTATTCGGTACGATGTCAGTCAATATATATATTTATTAAATAAATAAATTTTTTTTTTGTAAATTAAAATAATGTTGTCAATTAATATTAATAATAATAAATTATTCGAAAACGATAGGAAAACAAAATGGCGGACGGGTAAGAAAAAATTTTTCAAAATGATTATTATTATTATTATTCCTTTTTTTGTTCGTTTTTTAAGAGTATCGAAATGAATCGATGCAATTAAATGAAATTAAATTTTCCAATTTAATTACCAGATGATGATGATGAGATTTTCCAAGTAGAGTGAAATTTTCTAGAAAGTTTTCCATTCAAGCTTTTTTTTTTTGGAAAAATATCGTAAAGGGGAAAAAAACTATTTTGAATAAAAACTTTTTGTCAAGACTTTAAAACTTTACAAAACAATTCAATCAATTAATTTCAACCCTTAAAATGTATTTGATAAAAATTTTTTTTTTCCTTCTTAACTTTCGATCAATATCCCCTCACTCAACCCTCCTATCATCATCATCATTTTTTTCTCATTAATAATAATAATAATAATAATAATAATACATAAACAAAATGTCGAACGAAACGTAAATAATAATAATAAAAAATAAATTAATAAATATTTTCATTTAATTTACCGATTTTAAAAAAAAAAAACGTTTAAATAAATAAAATAAAACTTTTTTTTTATTATCTATTTATCTACCTATGTATGTATATATTTATGTAAACATAAATTTATGTATACATAAATTCGTTATTTTTTTTTTAAATAAATAAATAATTTTCCAAAATGTTATTTAAAGTTACTAGTTGTACTGACAAAAGTTTCGCATCATTTAATTTCGAACGATAACAACAACAACAACAACAACAAACATTATTTTTAATTTAATTGAATTTGTTTGAAAAAAAATATCTAACAATAATAACAACAACAACAACGACAAACGCAACCATTAAACAAAAAATTAAACAAAAAAATAATATTAATTAAAAATGATAATAAAACTAAAATTTGTTTTTTTTTTTTTTTTTTTTTTTTTTCATTTTAAAAAATTAGTTGAAAAAAAAACAAAACAATGATGATAATACTAATGATGATGATGATGATGGAAGAAAGAAGTGAAAATGATAATAATAATAAT